GAAAATTGGAAATCACTTTACATTGGACTCGAAAGTTGGCTAAAGTTAAAAGATCCATTTTTAGCAAAAGTTGAATCTGTTAAGAAAATAATTGAACAATTTAACAACAATATTGCAGCTGAAGATGCTAAAAAAGTTTGCATACGAGAAATTGATTCTATTTCTACTGATTCGCAGTGTCCGGTCGACACTAAAACAAACATTGAGAGTTGGGAGGAGTCTGATTTCAAGACACAATATACAGAAACACTTAATATCTTGAATGAACTTTCTATCGAACTCGCTAAAGAGAAATTTTTTCATGTATTAGAATTGATTTCTCTCTTGAAATCATTATGTCAACCCTCCAGTTGTAAGTTTTCTATAGACGTCTTCAATAATATTCTTCAAAGATATATTAAAAGGCTGCCCTTTGATCAAGCTCAGTTCAAAAGTTGTCGTTCCTTACCTGTGCTTGTTTCGCTATTAGCAAAATTGAATTATGATCCTCAATTATGCAAGCTGCATCAAAAATTAGATGATATAAGCGGTAGCGGTTTCGATAATGAAAAGGCTATTATAAATTTTTTTAATCTAATATCAAATGAAAAAATTGAGAATGAAAAATTCTGGCTGAATTCTCGAGTTATTTACTTGATCCGTAATTCACCGATTGCAATATCAAGAATTGCTATGTTGAAATCATATGTCAATATTTCAAGTTACATGCCACATGACATCAAAAAACGCTTGAACAAACACAGGAACGAAATTTTGCAGCAAGAGAATTTTGAAATGCCGGAAACATTAAACGATATTGATGAGGCGATAAAAGTTTTCAAACGCATCAGCATTATACAAGATATAGAACCTGAAGCATTTCGATTATTAATGGAAAATTCCATCTCAAAAAATGAAGAGCTAAAGAAATCATTTAAGTCAGCTGATGCCTTATTTTATTGGAATGAAGAAGAAAAGTTTTTCGATCAACATTGGGATATTCAAACGATTAAAGATGCATATTCAAAACTTGAACAATGGAAAAGAAGTTCAAATGCTGGAGCAACCAAACCTAACATTCCCATCAATTTCCTCGATCTTGATTGTAAAAATATCAACGAAAATATCAAAAAATGCAACAAAAAAGAGATAAATGTGCATAAAAACTGGAGACCAATAATGGGTAAAACAATCTCAATGATCGCATCAAAGGACTATGTTGAAGTACGTGCGATTATTTCAACACCAAAAATTGAGACAACCCAAGAAATTGCATGCGTGAGTCAAGTTCTTCCATATCTTATGCAAAAAGTAAAGATGTGGGGTGGTCATGCACTCACAGCAAATAA